GCTTGTAATCACCTAACCATTTTTTAAATAAGCGCTTTTACCAAAAAACATAATTTTGTCAAAGTTGAACTATCTTACCTTCCTCCCGAGCACTGAGATGCACCCCCTGGCCCTCTATGGCTGTCCGTTGTTACGCTTGTAATCACCTAACCATTTTTTAAATAAGCGCTTTTACCAAAAAACATAATTTTGTCAAAGTTGAACTATCTTACCTTCCTCCCGAGCACTGAGATGCACCCCCTGGCCCTCTATGGCTGTCCGTTGTTACGCTTGTAATCACCTTCAAAAGTAACAAACTGTAAAAACCTGTATTTTGTGTCCAAATGTACTAGCCAATCTTCTTATAACATTCCTAAAAACAAAAAGGTCAAATTTCAAAAATTTACCAAAAGAATAACAATGTAATTCTTTGAAAAAGAACTTAATTACTGTATCATACTACATTACTTACACTGCTGTTTCCTAACACGATACTTCTTTGTACAAGTGCTCATTTTGATAAAAATCATCTAAAAATTAAACCACAAGTTTTTTAAAAGATGTTTTCTTAATCACATTTCAGTCCTGCTATAACCATGCCTAGTGAAGTAGTTTTTAGAATTAAACAAAACTGTAAAATAACCAGAATAACAAAAGTTTAGGTTCAATGCCATTGTAATCCCTATTCTTAAAAAAAAAAAAAAGGGTAAGGGAGGATACAAAAATCACATGTTTATTACTTTGACTTGCACTGTTATTTAAAAATATTTAGAAAGTTGATGTTGGATTACTGAATACTAGCTTGGTTTTGCAAGTGTTTTATTACACTATTCAAGTGTGTTGCTATGACTTCCACTTCTATAACTAAATACAGCTAATATGAGGTTGTTTTGTTTTTTTGTTCATTTGTTTTGTGTGTTTTTGTGTGGGGGGGGAGATTAATAGTTGGTTCATTATGGAATCATCTAGTAAAATTTAAATTTGTTCATAATTTCTTTTTAGAGAAAAACTTTAAACACAATATAGTATTAAACATGTGCATCAAAAATTACATTTTTCAAGAAACTTAAATAATGAAATATTTATTAAAATTTCAAAATAAGGCTTAAGGGTAACTCAGTTTTATACTAGTGTAAGTAAAATTCAATATGCAATATTATTTCTGTTTGATTAGGAATTCTGTTTAAGACAAAAGTTTGTACTATAGTTTTGCAAATGTAGGTGTCTCTCTATACAAACATTTCTGAGCTAAAGTGACATTTATAAAGTGTTGCCCTCGTTCACAAAGTATTTACTGAAAAGAGTGATAATCTTCTGGCTAGTAGCTTTTACAATTTATATTTTAATTAACCCTATCACCCCGGGCATCCTTTACTGAGCATTACACAAGGTTTTAGTGTCTTACATTTTGTTTACCTACTTTTGTTTATTTTATACCAATTAGAATAGCATAAAATCTTAGCTAATAATCCATATTTTAATAATATACAAGTTTAAAGTTCTTAATTCTACAAGACAATATTAAAAAAATCCTGAATTTCCACTAGTGTGACCCACATGACATTTTGTCTTAGCATGTCATCATCCCTATTTTATTCACCACCCTTTGAAAAAGTATGAAATTAAACATAAATTACTCTCAAAATTGTTATTGCTGAGACAAACCATAATTTGTATGGTCTTCAATTCTGCTGGGTTACAAAACTATCAAATATAGAAAATCAGACCCCTCCTGCCACACCCTCTCTTTCACAATTTGTTGATAGTTCTCTCGTTTCATTATATATTCCCTATAACCAATAGAAACTCAAGGTTTTCATCTATCAAATGATGTATTTTATAACATTATGTTCTGAACAGTTAGATGTCAATTTCACTCAGAGTACCAACATTGTTCCCATGGGAAAGTTAACAAGTAGCTTAGATGAATTTGTAATGGCTCTTGTCGCATTGTTAGAAAGCCAGAAATATTTTGTGATGTAGGGAATTTGTCTACCTTTTGCATGTTATTAGTCTATATTCTTTGGTGATTTATTTAGTTAAATAAAAACTATTAAGTGCATTACTATAATTACTATTAAAAAATTAGGCTTAACTCTCCTCGACAATTGAAAGTAAGAAAAAAAGAAGATTGGGTAAGTACTCTATTTCTTGTTTTTAATATTTTTCTTTATGTATAATTATAAAAGTAACTAAAATATAAAAACAGAAATCCTATTAGGTTTTTTAAGATTAGATTAGGTAAAATAAATAATAATAATAATACTATAATAAAAATGTTTCATAAGGTACACACATGAGCAGCTCATTGGTAATGTAATTCATTAGCATAACATGAGCTACACAGCCCCCCAGTGATTTACAACTTATAATGACAAGTATAGTAGTTAGACATAGTTCAAAGTGCAATAAAACAATAAAATTTAATTATAAATAGATGTATACTGTTATGAACTTAGAGCTACTTAGGATAAACAAATGTAGTTTCATGTTACAATTTGGTGTCATTCTAGAAAGAAAAAAAAGGTTAATTTAGGTTTATTTTTATTTGGTTATGAGGTTAGTCAAATTGTCCAATCCCATTTTGAGATAGGGTAGAGAAAATAACAGATAAACTATAAAGT